CTCTTCCTGTTCTGAAATTACAATTACATGTAGGTTATTCGTTTTGATGGTATGCCACATGAACCTTAGACTTTCTTCATTTTGTTTTGATCTTTTTTATGATTGATCCCTTTCCAAAGAAGTATTCAGGTATTTGTCTTCAATCTCATTAATTCTGTCTTCCATTGATTCAATTCTACTCCTTTGCTCTTTCAACGTGTTATCTAGTTCTGAAAGGTTAGTATTAATCGTCTGGATTTCTATCTGTAAATTTTGTATCATTTCTAATTTTCCATTTATTTTGTCATTTTGTTCTTGATTTCCTTCTGAAATTGTTCTAGGGTCATTTTGTCAGTGTTTTCCTTGATCTGTCTCTCAATCCTTTGAAGGTACCTAAATATAATTATTTTGAATTCTTTATCAAGGAGTTCCAATGCTGCTTCTTCCTCAGGGATGTGTTCTGGGTCTGTATCCTACTCCCTTGTTTCTACCACTTTATCTTGCTTCTTTGTGTGGACTTTGATGGTCTGTTGTCTGTGAGACATTGTGATGTTGTATTTAGATCTCTGCTAACTGTTTGTGAAGAGCAGTTAAGGGTGAGTCAGGCTCTTCTATGTGGTCATTTATCATTGGCCAGTTAGTGGAGAAGGAAGTGGTGTCTCTCATTCAGTAAGTGAAGCTGCAGGAGGTGTGGGTGTAGTTGTGTCATATGGGCACTGTTGCTGTCTCCCACTCAGTTAGACAAAAACAACAATCGAATAACCATCAAAAAAAGTAAAGGCCAGTGGACAAAAAACACACTGTAAACACACAGGAACAATAACCAAAAGGAGAAGAAAAAAACAAAACCCTGCAATATCTGAGGAGAGGGCAATAAGAGGAAAAAGGTAGAGTAGGAGAATAATGAAGGAAAAAATGGGAAAAATACAAAAAGGAAAATGAGGAACAGGGTTAACACTAAGAAAGAAAAAAATGGAACCAAGAATAGGGAAGAGAGAAAATGCTGAAAACTAGAACTTGGGAAGGGAAGAATAAAGAATAATAATAAAAAGGACAATAGTAATAATAATTTTAAAATAGACAAGAACAAACAAAGGAAAAAAAAATCTGGGCAGGGCACCCAGGCTCTGTCCAAACACACAGACTGGGATGGAATTCCTGCTGGCCCAGAAGGTGGGTGGGAGTGAGGGATGGCCGTACCTCCATTCACCAAGAGGGTATGAGGTATAAGAGTAACAAGGAGAATATCGCACCTGTCCAGTCATTGGTGTACAGAATATCCTTGTGGTTCCTGGCAAGTGAAGCCTATTCTTAAGTCCCTGGAATCTGGGAGAACACTTTAAATATCCAAAATGGTCAAACTGCTTGTAAACATTCAAAATGGCTGTGTCCTCCGGACAGGCCTAAGTCCACAGCTCAGCCCACCTTCCTCTTCACTGCTTCCCCTTTTATTCACCAGCCACCAGTGCAGTCCTCCATGCAGCTCCTGGCTAGCAGGGCCAATTTTTAGGTTAATACTTAGGTCCTAACACCACTTGACAATATCCAATCTGTTTGTGCCATCACGATCGCTGACAAACCACAGCTCCATATATCTCCTTTTTTGGTGTTTTCATGCAAATTCCACTAGTTGGAGTTTAGTCCACTTCTATATCTTTCCTGTCAAAGCTCAGGGCTCCAGGATTACATTCTGTATCTGTGTTAATTGGTTCCCTTTTTCTTTGTTGAAGAGGGTCTGTGCAATCTGTCTGCCTATTCCACCATCTTACCAGAACCCCCCTGAAATACCAATTTTCCTATCAGAATGTTCATTTAATTCCATTGTACTTTATGTAAGGGGGGGGTTCTGATAATTTAAATTATAAATATCATGTTACCAATTTAAAAAATTAAATAAAAATTTCCCCCAAAATATGTGCATATAAGAAGATCATTGTAATTCTGTTTTAAAATTTCAACAGTGTAAGGAAGCGTGGGTTAGGCTAGGCTTAGGAGACAACATAGAGGTTATATAAAACATATTTCATCTACATGACCAAGCTTATACCTCCAATTTTGGCCCTATTCTTTACCTAAGATATTATAAATCAAGCAGCCCACCATGGGGAAATGAAATATATGTTCCTTAACCTGCACTCCAAAGATCTCTGAGGCCAAATTAGACAAAGGGTGAAGAGGACAGGAATAAACTCACCTCAGATGTCTCTACCTCTCACAATCCAGCCTAATCCCTCCCACACCCCACCATCTTACTATTAAAGAACACTGTTTAAAGCACAAACTTGAACCTACAGACTCAGCCTCAAATCTTTGCTCAACCAAATTCAAGATTCTTCACCTTTACAATAGAGTCAATAATACTGTCTATTTCAAAGGGTTTTTAGGGAGATCAAGTGAGGGCATGCATACAAGGCTTTTAGCTCAGTGCTTTGTACTTGGTTAAGTTTGTTGATATTGTTACAGTAAAATTTGTG